CCTGACAGAACTGGAGAGGATCTGCAAGGAGGAATGGCAGAGGATCCCCAAATCCAGGTGTGAAAAACTTGTTGCATCTTTCCCAAAAAGACTCATGGCTGTATTAGATCAAAAGGGTGCTTCTACTAAATACTGAGCAAAGGGTCTGAATACTTAGGACCATGTGATATTTCAGTTTTTCTTTTTTAATAAATCTGCAAAAATGTCAACGATTCTGTGTTTTTCTGTCAATATGGGGTGCTGTGTGTACATTAATGAGGAAAAAAAATTAACTTAAATGATTTTAGCAAATGGCTGCAATATAACAAAGAGTGAAAAATTGAAGGGGGTCTGAATACTTTCCGTACCCACTGTACATACTAGTCTCTATATATACTCTATAGAGATCAGCGAGCGGAGAGCAAGTCTGTAGTGAAAGGTCTACTAATAATTACTCAACTTAGATATTTAGTTGTTGATACAATGTATAAGGAAGTGACAAATGTTTTTCAGATATAAATGTATTCACATTCAGATGTAATTATTTGGGTTTATTGTTCACAATATATTTATTTTCTTTTGTTTAGACTACTTCAGTGTTATGTTCCCAACTTGAATGTGTGACATTACAGGATGTCATGTGCATCAGGTGTATACATTTTTTTTTTTATTAATTTATTAAAGGTGATGTAAAAAATTGTGATGTTTTATTATAATTGATAAAAATATTTTATCGTAATTGCAACACTTTTTATAGTAGATTTAAAATAGTAATTTATACTTTATTATAAATTTATATAGATTCAGGGTTCCCACTCTTTCATGAACACCAGATTCAAGGACTTTCAAGGACTTTTTAAAGCACCCTTTATTTTATATCAAGCACCTATCAAATTCACACCCCAGCATATGTAGTGTCATGAAAGACCTTACAGTACTTAACATTTCACTTACACTTAACATTTACATTAAACATTTCAGAGTAATAATGTTTTGAATGATTTTTGCTGTAGTTCTTGTACAAGATTTAAATTGGAAAGAATTTCTCAATTTTTAAATTAATAAAAAGTGGTTAAATGTTGTAATAACATGGTAAAACCTGTTAACATTAAAAGATTGCACATTCACTCAAAAGATCCGTTACTCGTTAATAAATAAACTCAAGTCAAAATTATTTTGTAAATTACTTTTTATTGTAAATCCCATTTTTTCATCTTTGACCTAGAGGAATGCAGCTCAAACATGCAGCTGCTCAAAACGTCAGTATTTTTTGAAAATATTTCATGAGCATTTTAAACCTTGTACATAAAAAAATATATAAAGAAAACAGGACTTTCTATTTGCTTTTAAACTGTAAACGCTTTTCAATTCAAGTACTTTCAAGTACTTTCAAGAAGCGTGGGAACCCTGTAGATTATATAGTTATAGTTATCTAAAATATAGTTATCTAAAATATTTTATATAACTATATAAAATTATAGTTATATAAAAATTATATAGTTATAGTTATCTTTATAGTTATTGTTTTTGGTGTGAACAAACCCTTTTATGCGCAACAACAATGCTGATGTAAGGATGCTTTATGTGACTCACTGTTTTCTGAACTTTCCCACCGTAGCACTTTCTCAGGAGAATGTTATTGAAGACTATGCGGTCCACAGGACAAGAGTTGGCATTCTGAAAAAAACAAACAAAAACAAAACATGACATTAATGTTTATGAACCAGTGCTACAGTTAAAGTCCCCATGAAATCAAAATTAAAGTTTTTTTGGGTGTTAGTATCAATATGTTAGTCT